TGGATAGTTGTATTTGATTGATGTTACCAAGTCTTGCCTCAATTTAATTAGCCAAGTGAGTTTCTTTTCAACTTTTAATCATTTTTTGGGTTAATACAAATTCTCTATTTCTCGCATAATATCCCCTCCCCCAAATTAAATTGCCTCCATCACTGTTGCAGACGTAAGAGGTACTGTCCTCAATTGCCAAGCCCTACCTCACTGATGGTGATGCAGTAGCTATTGGAGAGACTAAAGAATTGGCTCCGAAACAATAAAGGAAAGGACAAGGCGTTACTTTCCGTATCTAGTCCTCTGTGGATGGTAATCACTTGCAGATTGTTTTTTGGTCTTTTGACCATATCTCCAAGCTACTAGAGAAAGGAAAACGGAGTAGAACTCCTATATGCGAAGGTGGGGATTCCTTGAGGTGAAAAACGAATAGGAGAAGCAAATAATTAGTTCTGAGGTTTGAATTTCAAACCTTAAACAAGCAAAAGAGTATATGAAAATAAGAGAATTATTTTGTATTGTATAGCATAAGAGGAGGTTTTCATTTTATTTTGATGGCTTACATTTGGGCTATTTGACCCAATATATTGTTTATAAATTATTGTAAGTTTATTACAATTTTCAAATTGGATCGAAATTTAGATTGATTAGGGTTAATTATCCAATAAATATCCAAATCATCCACTTGAAAAATAGGATTATTGAAATCACACAACACTTTAAATAATAATAAAAAGATTCAATAGCTGCGTATAGAGCGAGTAGATCCCTTGGAAAAAGGAGAAAATCGAGAGGGGATTTGAGTGGTTGCTAGACATCTGTAGGGAGAATTGTGGAGAATTAATGGGCTTGCTTGGTTAGATGGGCTTTTATTGGAAAGAAATAGGGGAATTGGTGATAGATAGATAGACAGGTAGATCAGTGGGTTTTTAGAGTGGATTGGAGGATTGGATTTAAATGAAATAACTATTGAGCTTCAAAACACCAGTAATTGGGTATTTTTTAATGATTTAAGTGGTATTAATTTTTTAATCATGTAAAGAAGATTAGTGGGTTTTTAGAGTGGATTGGAAGATTGGGTTTGAATGAAATAATTATTGAGCTTTAAAACACCTATATTTGGGTCTTTTTTAATGATTTAAGTAGTGTTAATTTTTTAATTATGTGAAATGTGAAGATAAACTTTTTTAAAACTTCTTTAATTCCACTTTGTCAGGAAAAAAAAAACAAATAGAAATAGTAAAGGAATAATGAAAAAGTGTTTTTATAGAATGGATTGCATATTAAATGTGCAATTTAGCCTATAAATTTATTAAAATACTTTTAATAGAATAACATCACAAATAATTTCATTAGACATGTTTTAATAAATTTATAAGGTAAATTCCACTTTTAATGTTTAGTTTGTACTGTAATGAATCTCAAAGAATAAAAAAAAAAAGTAAGAAGAATAAAGAAAGTGCTGAGAAGTGAGAACCAAAACTCAGAGAAAGAGAACTATATTTGGTGGAAATTTATTTGTTCCAAAAACTAGCAACGTTAATGTTTGACCTTTTATAAAGAAGGCCAAAATAATTAAAGAGTCTTTCAATCCTCTTCGTTCATCACTTCCCTGCATATGCTTGCAAGTTTCCTCGTTTACATTTGCTTGACCATATTTGTCAAGTAAATGTGGAAATTGACATGTAATAAATATGGTGCATGTATATGCCAATTTGTGATATAAGAGTGGAAGAATTTCAAAGTAGAAACCAATTTCTAGACAATTTA